CACGTTGAAACAGATTTTTTTTGAATAAGATTCCGTTAGAAAACCTGTCTCTGACCAAAAATCCATTTTCCAATTTTAGCTTCAGGTTTTATAATTTCTTAAAGAGCATGCTTTACACATATTAGTGTGTCTGTCACTTTTTTCCTTAAGGGTATTGATGATACTGATATATCCAATCAGCCCCTTCAAACACAGGGCTAAAAGTTATTGTAGAGCACCTTATGGGGTATATGTGGATTGAAAGTAAGATTCCCCAAAGTATATCTTGTAAAATTAATCAAAAGCAAGAAAACGTGGGTAGGTAAGCTTCAACACAGAGACTAGTAGGAAATCCTTCTTCCTACTCTGCATTATTTTATAGGATTAAAAAAAATCAATAAAATACAACATAGCACTTACCCAGCACAAAGTTGGCATTCCTCAATGTATTTATATTCATGCATAAATAAATATAATCATTCATTCAAAAAATAACTATATGACCATTATGTGCAAAGCTCTAAGGATCCAAAATTAAGTAAGACCCTTGCTTTGTACAAAGATCTCACCATAGAACATCTCTTCTTAAATATTTATTCTTCTGCAGAGATACATGATTGATGGCACAGGATATGCTTCTATGTGACTGTGCACATAAAGTAGGCCAGAGATGATGGGTAATCTTGGACACCAGTACAATCCTTTCTTTATAAGATTACATGTGGGAATACAACTGTCTGAAAGTATTTTTGTAAGCATGGCCCTAAATACACTCTGGTTTATCTATTTACAAATGTCAGCCCCCTAATTATCATGAACCACAACATTCTTTGCATATGGTGCAGGAAAGATCATGACATATAACAAAGGCTGATCCAGTATCACCAAAACAGGAAACACCAATTACCATTTCATTCAAACTGTACTTGTGAGACAACTAATCCAGCCAGGAAATCTGATCTCCATGTGTCAATCATTTAAAAGTTGATTTGTCTCTACAAATGCCAATATCTACCAAATACATATTAGGCTGAAGTATTAAAACGGCTTTTTGAATTTCATGAAAAAAATCACGTAATAGAATTATATGGGTGACTCATTATACTGCTATTTTACCTTTCTATTTTGAAAGATTTACCAATTACAAACAAATTAATCCAACAAGGGGTTTGTAATTATTATTTGTAAATACATCTATGCTAAAACAATGCCTATTTTCAAAAAAGCACAATGGATTTTAATAATTTGCCTAATAAGTATTCAAATATGATTCAAATGGCACATATTTGAAAGATAGCAGCCCATGTGCAGGAGTAAAGGAGAATAACATTGCTAATGGCTTGATGGATACATGGAACCTCTATTTGAATGTTTAATGGCAGTATTTTACAAATGGAATACATTAGTGCTTAAGTACTAATATCACTCTGAATAAATTCAGGCTTATAATGGGAATACAAACCTGAAGTACCCTCTTTGCATATGTATAATCTAAGTGATTCTGTGTAGGCAAGGTGACATTATATACCTTTTTTGTGTCAGGAATTTGCTGCTGCCTAAATGAAGGAAAAATATCCCAGTGTTACCTGTTTTAGCTGAATTGAATCTACAATGACTGTATACCTTCCAACAAAGAAATACCAGTTTTAAGGAAAGTTTGTATGTAGCAGGTTTAAATTCATGATAAAATAAATCAGGATAGAAATAAATTAAATGCATCTTTCCCTTATACTAGAATGGGGGCTACCTGAAAGGTATTACTTTCATATTAGCAAATAATCACCATATTCTTAAGTCAATTATTTAAAAATTCATATTTGATTTTTACTTTCAACCATGACACAAATAGTAATTATTAGACTTTTTCTTCCTAAGAAAAGTATATAAACCGATTATAATGTATAAGTGTTTTCAAGTGGTGTTGTTTCAAACAATAGACTAAGATTATCAAAGCTGAGAGAAGGAAAACACAAGAAAATTGATCCCCATGATCAATTTCCAGCACGCCCATTGTTGATAAATTCCACTAAGCACCTCAATCGCTTGGGACAAACGAATGCCACCCCTTAGGAAAAAGCAACAAACACAACAAAAAACAACGAAATCCTGGAGCAAGAGCAACCCACTGCTGCAAAAGAGCAACAGACCTCCTCTCCCAACAGAGAACATGCACTTGCAGATCCAGTAACTCAACAAGCCTCAAATGGAACTTAATCCTCTATGCAGTGGTATTAAGAGGTAGAGACCTGGCCGGCACCGAGGCTCACTAGGCTAATCCTCTGCCTGCAGCGCCAGTACCCTGGGTTCTAGTCCCAGTCGGGGCACTGGATTCTGTCCCGGTTGTTCCTCTTCCAGGCCAGCTCTCTGCTGTGGCCCGGGAAGGCAGTGGAGGATGGCCCACTATGCTATCAATAATTTCTAAAAGTTCATTAGCTTTAAAACACAGCCTTAATACCCCATAGTTCAGACCTCAAAAATGAGGTTTATCAGGATTACATTCTTTCAGAGGCCCTAGGGAGAATCGATTTCCCTCTATTTTCCAGCTTTTTAGAGGCATCTCCTATTTCTCAAACTGTGTCCCCACAACACTCCAGTTTCTGCTCTCTTCTATGATTCTGATCATCCTTCTTTCTCTTATAAAAATGCTGTGTTTTCGCTGGGCTCACCCAAATAATTCAGGCTAATTTCCCCATCCCAAAATTCTTCATTTAATCACACTGGTAGAGCCCCTGTACCGTAGAAGGTAAGGTCCCTGAATTCACAGATTTGGGTGATTAGGATGTAGACACCTTTGGGGTAGTTTTCTATCTACTACCACATATAAAAAGTATACAAAGTATTGCCAGGAGGGGTTTATCTCAAGATTGAAATGATGGTTCAACGTTTGTGATTCAATGCAATCCACTTTATTAGCAGAAAAACAAGGGAAGGGGAGAGAAGTGATCACCTCAATGAGGACCAAATAGATTGGGGAGAATTTAATAATCTCAGTCAAAATTCAAGTAGGCTTTCTTAGTAAAACTAACAAACTCAACCTAACATGTATTGGGAAATTGAAAAGATCTGGAATGTACAAGGGATTTTGAAAAAGAATAATATTAAAATTTGCATGCTATCAAAACTCACTATAAATCTTCAGTGATAACAGACAAAAAAAAACAACTGGAATAGAATAATGAATCCAGAAATAGCTCTACCAAGATACAGTCAATTGATTTTCAACGAAGGCAGTGGGAAAAAGAAAATCTTTTCAACAAGTAGTGCTAGAGCCAATTCTGCAGCCATTTGAATAGATAACAAACTAGAACCCAATCTCACAACTTCACAAAATATTAACCTTATAATATTTATATAAATAAATATGAAAACTGAAAATATAAAACTCTTCAAATAAAACATTGAAGAATGTATCTGTTACCTCAGGGTAGACAAAGAAATAGAAAGCAATACTACCCTTTCAGGCTACACTAACAAAATACCATAAACTGGGTAGTTTATGAAAAACACAAATTAATTTCTCAGTTTGGGAAGCAGAGAAGTCCAAGATCAAGGGATCAGCAAACTCAGTGTCTGATGAGGGTGGACTTCCTGGTTCTTAGACATTCACAGAGTTCTTTTTGCACTGTAACCTCATGTAGAAGTGACGAGACTGCTTTCTAGGGGCCCTATTAATCCCAAACACCAAATCACTTCCCAAAGGCCTCAACTCCTGCTATCATTTTGGAGGTTAGGATTTTAACATACAAATTTTGAGGACAGGAGGCAAAAACATTCAGAACATAGTAAATACCATTATGGACAATGACCAAGGAAATCAAATGGCACTTGAGGCTTTGGGAGCAGAGGCACACAATTTATTTACGCATGCGGGCTTGACAAGACTTGGGCCTCAAGAGTCATGCCCCGATCCTCTGTCTTTCCCTACTTTCACACCCTGAATTTAGGAAGGCAGTAATGTGGTAGTTTCAGGCAGTTTGGGGGCAATTTCAGGGAGCACATTTAGGCCCTCAGGGATTAACAAATCACAACTGCAAGGTAAGGTATTTACATACAGGAATGAGTAAACTGCCACTTAAAGCAGTTTCAGGAGCGCACAACTATCTTATTTTAGGTATGTGACTAGGCCTTTATGTCAGGTGTGGGACCAGGCAGTACAGGTTTGCTTAGACCCAGCTGGCGCTTTGATAACAAGGGGCAGGGAGTCTGTAGCATTCCCCACAACTCGCTCCTTAATGGCAAGCAGGAGGGGGGTCTGTAATAATACTACTAAAAGTATAATATAGAGAGTTTATCAACCTTACAAAAATTAACAACAAAAATACATGCTTAAGGGCTCCAAGATGGCTGAATAGGGTATGACCACACTAACTTAAGCTGCTCTGGGATATGAAAAGAACAAAGGAATGACTGTGTTTCCAGAGGTCTGATGGACAGAAAATTTCCACAAAGAAGTGAAAAATGAAATATAATGAAAACTCCGAGGTCCGAGAGGAGAGAACACAGAGACACCACTGCAGCTGCTGGCTGTGAGCCACCATCATCCCACATCTAGGCAGGAGGAAATTGCTGGACACCTCAATACTCGTTTTAGCTGAGCAGGAATTCTACAGTCACCCACTGGCTTTTGCCTTGGCCTGGGGAGCTGACTGGGGTCTGAGCAACTGTCAGGCTTGGAGCAGGGAAGCCACATTGCTTCCTTCTCCCCAGCTTTCACAGAGCACCACACTCAGCAGCTCAAAGTAGAGCAGGGCACCTCTGCTCTGTTCCTATCTGCATCAGAATCAGAATCGGGAGGAGACACCATGTTAAGAGAAGTGAGAGGAGTCTGCAGCAACCCAGGTCACTGCCTTGTGAACCTTGTGAACCACCCTGACTTGGAGACTGGAGAGCACGTGCCCTGCTTCCCAACCCCCCCACAAGGTCTGCCCATAACCAGCAAGGAGGAAGACCCGTCTTAGTAAGGCAAGCACTCGTGCACCCAGGGGATTTTATCTAAGGGATACATCATGGTCCCCACTGACCTTGAGTCTGGCCCAGACTGTTGGCAGGAGACAGGGTGCCCACTTGAGCCTGTGAGGTGCTCCCTTCCTCCCACTCTATCACAGGCTCTCAGGCTCACACTGCCAAGGTGGTACTGACAGACAGCTGGCTCTGAGAATGTCACGGCTTCCTCTGTGGACAGAGCAGGCTCTCGGGGCTGAGGGTGGATCCCCTGCTTCCTGGGACTGTGGGAGCCCAGCACATTATGACTGTGGGAATTCTGTGACTGCACAATAGGGTGTGGGGTAGAGCTGGGTCTCTGGGCAATCACTGTGTCTCGCTTCATAGGCTCAAAGTCAACTGAGTGCCTAGGGTGGGTCATTGCAGAGCGTTCTGTGCTCACACTGAGGACTGCGTAGAGCCTCTTTGTGGTTCATGAACATATGTGGGTAGGATGTGTAGCTACTGTGGCCTTGCCCCTGGCATTGATCATTTTGGTAGGGGGGAAGTGAGACAGGGATCACACCAGCTGACATGATCATTTCCTCACCCCTGCTGACAACAGACACCATCCCTGTCTTTGGTGTGACCTTGGACTCTTTCACCACGCCTGAGCTCCAACCTGAGCTTCCTGACTCGACTCTGCACACATCTCTGAATATCCAGTAAAGGAGCAGATACCCCACTAAGCCACAGAGGCAAATTTCAAAGATAAAAGCCATCAGAGTTGAAAACCAACAACAGTTCCACAAATGCCTAAAAATAAATAGAGGGGCCAGGCCAGCACTGTGGCATAGTGGGTAAAGCTGCCACCTGCAGTGCCAGATTCCAATGTGGGTGCCGTTTCAAGTCCCTGCTGCTCCACTTCTGATTCAGCTCTCTGCTATGGCCTGGAAAAGCAGTACAAGATGGTCCAAGTCCTTGGGCCCCTACAGCTGCATGGGAGACCAGGAAGAAGCTCCAGGCTACTGGCTTTGGATCGGTGCAGCTCTGGCTGTTTCAGCCAATTAGGGTGTGACCCAGAGGATGGAAGCCCTTTCTCTCTGCCTCTCCTTCTCTCTCTGTGTAACTCTTTCAAATAAATAAATAAATTTTTAAAAAAATAAAAATAAACACAGAAATGGGAGACACATAAACAAGGAAGACAAAATGACTCCCCAAATGAACACAACAACACTTCAATATTAGAATGTAAAAACAAAGATGAAATGCTTGAAAAAGAATTCAAAAGAATGATCATAAGATTACTCAAAAAGGCCAGTACTGTAGTAAGTGGGGCCACTGCCTGCAGTGCCAGTATTCTATGTGGGTGACAGTTCAAGTCCCGGATGCTCTACTTCTGATCTGGCTCTCTGCGGTGACCTAGGAAGGCAGTAGAACATGGCCCAAGTCCTTAGGCCCCTGTGCTGGCATCAGGGTGCAGAGGAAGCTCCTGGCTTCATATTGGCACAACTATTGCCATTATGGCCATCAGGGAGTGAACCTGGATGGAAGACCTCTCTCTCTCTTTCTCTCTCTCTACCTCTGCTTCTCTGTGTCTCTGCCTTTCAGATAGATAAATAAATCTTTTTTTCTTTTTAAAAATTACCAAAAACAATGAGATGCAAATTCATGAGTTAAAGAAATCCATGTATGACATGGATGAAAAGTTATGCTGGGAGATAGAAATACTTAAGAGAAATCAAACTGAAATATTAGAAATGAAGAATTCAATATGTCAAATAAAAATACAATGGAAAGCATTAACAATATACTTTGTAGCTGAAGAAAGAATATCCAAGCTAATGACACATCTTTGGAAACATCTCAGACAAATAAAAAAAAAGAAGAAAAAAATTAGAAAAACTAAAAATAGTGTTCAAGATTTATGGCATACTGTCAAATGACCAAATATGGGTCCTAGGAGTTTCTTAAGAAATGGAAAGAGAGAATGGATCACAAGGCCTTTGGAGCGAAATAATAGCCAAAAACTTCCCTATTTTGGATAGGGAAAGAGTCATTCAAGTACAGGAAGCACATAGAACTCCTAATAGATATGGCCAGAAAAGATCTTTACCATAACACATTGTAGTAAAACTTTCAACTGTAAAACATAAAGAAAAAAACTAAAATGTGCTTGAGAGAAATGCCAGATCACGTTCTGAGGACTCCAATGAGACAGCTGATTTCTCTTCAGAAACCCTACAGGCTAGGAAAGAACGGAAGGACATAGTCAAATACTTAAAAGAAAAAAAAAATCTTGAGCCCAAGATAGTGTACCACGCAATGCTCCCATCTATAAATGAAGATGAAATAAAAACCTTCCAAAACAGGAGAAAATGCCAGAATTTGTCACTACTCATCCAGATACTTAAGGATGTGCTACACACAGAAACTGTCATCATTATGAAAGAATGTAAATGCAAGAAATCTCCTAGTAAAAGTGCAAAGGAAATACAAGGAAACAATAGGGATATTTATGGAAAAATGGCAAGATCTAGTCATTACATATCAATAATACCTTGAATGCAAATAGCCTAAATCCTTCAATTAAAAGATATAGACTGGCTGAATGGATTAAAAACAAGACCCATATGCTTGCTGCCTACAAGAAACATACCTCAGAACAAAGATATACACAGACTGAAAGTAAAAGGATGGAAAAAGATATTCCAGGCTAATGGAAAGCAAAAAAGAGCAGGAGTATAAACTAGTACAACCCTTATGGAGTACAGTATGGAGATTCCTCAGAAATCTGAAAATGGATCTACCATTTCACCCAGTCATCCCACTCCTAGGAATTTAGCCAAATAAAATGAAGTCAGTGTATTAAAGAGTTATCTGTACTCCCATGTTTATTGCAGATCAACTTGCAATAGCTAAGATAAGGACAAAATCCAGATGTACATCGACAGATGACATACATAGTCACACATACATACACACACACACACACACACACACACATAGAAAACTATTCAGGCATAAAAAATAATTAAATCCTGTCTTTTTCAACAAAATGGATACAAGTGGAAACCATTATGTTTAAATAAGCCAGTCCCAAAAAGATGAACATGTTTTCTCTGGTTTGTAACCAATAGTACAAAAAAATGTAATGTATATGAATGAAATTGAAATTCTGAGATTTGATTATTGCTTACAGCCCTTGTCTATACTCTTGAGGAACAGTGGTTTTTCTACTTACTACTTACTGATTTTTTTACTTAGTAGAGGGTTTATTTTATAAAATAAGCTAAAAATATGTCATTGTAAAGTTATAAGAAAAATAAGAAAGGAAGGTGTGTGGAGGGTGGGAGCATGGGCAGGAAGAAGGGTAGTGTGGGAAGTATCATTATATGTTTTTAAATCTGTATATATGAAATACACGAAATGTGTTCACCTTACGTAAATAATTTTTTTTAAAAAATGCTTAAGAAAATGAAAAGACACATACTTTGAAAAAATCTTCTGAAAACATATAGCCAATTAGAGATGAGCACATAAAAGACGCAAAGAACACCAAATCTCAATAAATAATAAATATCACAAAAAATTTTCAAGGGTAAAACACAGGTACAATTAACAAAAAAGATACAAAATTAAATAATCAGTTTTAAAAAGATCTCAACATTATTAGTTATTGTAAATATGCAAAATAAAACCACAGTTAGATATGAGTACAAAATAATTAGAATGACTAAAATTACAAAGATTAACAATGTCAATTGTTATGTTTAATGTGCAGTTATGGAAGCTCATACTTGGTAGCATGAGGTATTCAGAAAGTTCATAGATAATAGGTTTAAGTTTACTTTGATACAAAAAATTTTTGAAATCTATTCATATTTTTTCATAATACACATTTTTGCCATCCTTTTGAATAATTTTCTGATAAAATAAAACAATTACTTAGAGAAAGTCTTTCTTAATTTTTTTATATTATCCATCATATATGACCTACCATTTCCTCTTTTTTACCCAAGAAAAATAAAACCATAAATCCCCCAAAAATGGCTTATAGAAGATGTTTTGTAGTCATAAAACTGCAAAAACAACCCTAGTCTATAGAGAAATTATAAATTTAGTATATATACAATGATATAATAGAGTTCTATGAGAGAGAGAGAGAGAACACTCATGATATTAATATTGGTACACACACTACATTCATTAATCTCTATGATTTAGGTTCAGTAAAATAAGTTACGTAATACAGCAGATAGTTAAGGATTTGTGAAGTTCAGAACAGCCAAGACTGATGTATAATGAAAAAATCAGAAAACTGGTGCTTCTCAGTAGGATGGGAAGGGGCACAAACATGTTTCTCATGTTTTAGAAAAGCACCATATTTTGATAGTGGGTAGTTTGCACAGGAATGCATATTTGCCATGCAATGAATTAGAAACTAATGTTTGTGACTTTCTCTGTAAGAATCTAAAAAACTTTCCAAATATGGTGAAGTCTATATAGTGGGCTTGGTTTTTACAATTTTCAGAGTATTTTATATATTCTAGGATTGAACAAATAAAATACTGAGTGTAACATGAGCATGAATTTGCGTTACTCAAAAAAGGTGCTAACAGATATGAAAATTGAGCAGACGAGAATTCACCCTGTGTGGCTGAGTAGGAAATTTCAGTACATATGCATGCATTATGTATTGTAAGTATGTACCTATTCACTTGAGTATTAATGGTGACCAAGAGAGAGATTAGATATATGTATGCATACATAAACCCATACCTACACATAGACATATGCCTCTTTCTACTGAGTAGTATTAAAAGCAATGGTATACCAGTTAAAATGAACATGCATAATTCACACCAATTGAGTGTGGAGACAGTGATATGCCAGTATTAATTAACATAACTAATGCCCAGACCTTGATTTGTTAAACATCATTATCCACTAAAAGGAAGCAGAATTTGTTTGGTCAAAGAATTTATTTTGAGGCAGGGATAGAGAAAGTAGAAATTGAACATGGAACATACCACCAACCTGAAAGTGATGGCAAGGCCCTATCAAACGGACAGAGGGACCAGCTTGAAGAGGCTGTCATTGGCCAAATCTAGAATAATTAGATAATCAAATAAATAATTATAATAATGGGTTGTTATAATGACTAAGAGTTCACAATACTATGAAGGCACATAATTGAATAAGTAGAAGGAAAAAGGAAATGTTCCCTAAAGTAGAATGCCAATTTATAAACATAGAAGGAATTATGGAGACAGAAGAAGCATCAATGGGTACCATAAAGAGCGGATAAAGTTTGATGAATAATAGAATATTTAT